CCTGCCCTGCATGTGGATTTATTTCAGCGTATACTCAAGTGCTCTAAGTCTGGATGTTTTTAAAGCTAAAGCAACAATACATAGATTACTTTTATATACCTTAATTACGTATCTGAGTATTCAGAACAGATACTGTGATACTGAACTGTGTCTGATGTTGCATTGCAGGAACAGAAATGAGTATACTCTGACTAACACAGCAGATTCAAGGTCTGATAGTGGAATCACTCGAAAGTTTGGGAACCTTTCAAATACTTGGAAACCTGTCCAGCAGCAAAAACCCCCTGGTAACCGTAATTCATCTCAGCTCCTCAAAACAGAAACCAGCCAGACAAACACAGCTAAAGGACAGTGGCCAGTGAAACCTAACCCTGCATCAAGAAGTCTGCAGGGTCATAGTCCAGCATACAAATTTAACTATAATATTCAGCAAAATAAAATGAATGAAAACCAAATTGATTTTGTCCCAGAAGAAAAAAGTCAGGTAAAACTTATGGGGAGAGTTAATAGGAATACACAATGAAGAAAGCAGTAAAAAAAAAGAAAACTGATGAAAGATGAAGCTTTTGTCAGCCCAAGCTTGTCTTTGTAAACACTTGAGTTTCTGAAAATTTAGAATTGAGATTTTCCATACTATAATAACTACAAATCCTCAGCATTATGTTATAAACTTGCAGGGAGTTGTTTGTATATTCTGAACAAATACTCTAATGTAAATATTGGCTATTTAGCATAATATGTAAATGTCTATGTGCCTTTCAAAATTACGAGTGTATATGTCTAACTTGAGCTTTTGTCTTCCTCTGAAAGGAAGTTCCATCATCTCAAATAAAAATTAGAGACAAAAGGAATTCTTTGCGAATCCTGTCTGCTGTCATTGAAAGTCTGAGGCACTGGAGTCAATATTCTTACAAAACTGCACTGTTATTTGAAGTCTTAGGTAAGCACAGTTGATTGGGCTATAACTGATAATAATGGTAGGGCACCAGCGAGAGAGAATTTTATTCACTTTTGGCACAATGGCTGAAATACTTAAACCCACAAAATGTTGCTGTGAGCACCACCTAATCTTCCTTCTGGGAGATCCATTCAGCTATCAAAGCTGACTGAAATAGGTACAAAATTAATAATTCAGTCATCTTCCAACATTTCAGCTTTTTCCATGCTGTTTATTTTCTTTCCTTGTTTTTAGAATGTGTTACAATCAATTTTCCTATTTTATAGGAACCTTCTATAGAGAGGCACTGTTTTACAATAATTCTTAATACAATTAATGTAGGAATAGATTCAAGTCTGGGGTACTTCTAAATATAGGTACAGACTTTTAGTGCATTACACTTTGCATTTAATTGCTGTTGTCTGAGAAATGAACATGACAAAAGACTGAAATGACTGAACTTTACAACAAGGTGAATAAGAATATACAATCTGTTGGCATCTCAGCTATTATTTTGACAAGATGGCAGATATTTAAAGTTGATTTGCATATGTTCCCACAGAAAGCTGATGCTGACTTGATATATCTCAGTGGTTTTGTGTAGTAAATGATGTCGTGGTGTCTTGGTGTATCATTCTTAGTACTGCTCTTTGTTTACACCATGACTCATTTCTGTGAATGGCACAGGCACACTGGATTCTGCAGTCACACCTGGAGCTTATGGGGCAAAGAACTTTCTTCTGAGAGATGGAAAGGAGACCCTGCCTTGTGTGTTTTATGAAATTGTGAGTATTCTGTGTCTGTACATAACACAGGCTCCAATCCCTTTTATGAAGTTAATAATATGTTGTTCTGATAAAGCAGAAATATTCTGTGTAAAAGGCAGGCTGGATGCTTATATACCATATTGATCCCAAACTGGAGCAATAATCCTGTCACTACTTAGGCATCCTTAGACTTCTGTTTCGGAAAAAAAGGTGGGACTTCCAGTTTAGCTTTTAGGTACTTGATAATAACAAAAAAGCTGATGTAAATTCCCTCTGTTTGATGTCCTTCAGAATCCAGCCATGCAGAAAGCTTTTATGGTAGGTGACATAATTGTTTTATTTGTTTATTATGCTTTGATGAAGGACCGTGAGCTTCCAAGACTAATTAGAGGCCGAGTGCACAGGTGCATGGGAAACTATGATGCAAAAAGGAACATTTTCAAGTGCGTCTCTGTAAGACCAGCAACTGCTCCAGAACAGAACACTTTCCAAGACTTTGTGAAAATTGCAGATGCTGAGATGACAGCATATGTCAAAACAATGAATGAAATGTAGAAGTTGAAATGGTTTCTGTAATTTTCATTGATCATTACTCAGAAAGGCTGGACATGCTAAAACATTTCCCAAAACTAACAGGGAGAATCTGGTTAAATAATTGGAAATATCACTGTGCTGTGTTAACAAATGTTAGTAACAATGTTTTGTTTTCACTATTACTTTCTTTAGCTTACCCAGTTAAATATGCAATAGCAGGGTTTTGTTACATAGTAGATTAGACTTTACTGGAGAAATTCTGAATTAAAATGCTAAATTTTGCAGTAGGGCAACTGTCTTAGAATTCAGATTTCCATTGCTTTTCATTATCTTCAATTTTGAGAAATTCCTTCAATACCTGTTTCAAAACATTGACTATATAATTCTCTTGAGGAGTATTTGGTCATGGTTTAATAGGTAACAAACATCACAAATTTCTCTGGGTAGAAAGTAAAAAGATAGTCTTTATTCCTCTTCAGTTCCAAATAACAGGTGCCCTTTGCTTTGCTGGATGACAAGAACATGTGTAAAAGCTTTGCTAGAAATGAACATAATAGGTACTACATAAAGATTTCACAGGATGCAGCTGTATCTACCAGGTGTTCCTTGGGTTCCCATTTATATGCTATCTGATTCTTTTTCTTTTTTTAAAATAAATAATCAGTATGACACATGTATAAAATAGCAACAGACCCTGAAGCTGTAGGAAGATTCCTCAAGGACACAGAGGAAGTTGAAAAGAAAGAATTATTTGAAGGCAGAACCTCCTCGCCTTTGCCATATAAACACCTTTCATGAGGGATGGACCATGTACATGTTTATGTGCCTTTTGCCTTCAGACATTGACTTTCACAGGTTATTCCTGCTGTTTCTATTTCCTTTTCCCCTACTTCAAAAGCTTTGTAGCAGATCTGTTGGGAGTTATAAAACAAAAGACTTGTCAAGAAAATAGCAAACAGGATGGGGTTTTTTTATTATTTTATTATACAGTGTTGGCAATTGGAAATTTCACATTTAAAATAATTGAAATATTGTATCCAACAAGTCAAATACAGAAAACAGTTAATATTCTAAAAAGGAGCCAGCTAGTCAACGCAGAAACACATTAATGGAAAATACAGCTTTTAGTTACACTTAAAAAATTATATATTTAGAATAAAACTTGAACCTGGTCCAGTAAGGTTTTTGACTTGCAACAGGAAAACGCTTTTACACAGTTTAACGCGCAGACAGTCTTTGTTTAAAAAAGTGATCTGTCAGTGTCAGCACATGTATTGTCAGCAACAGCCCCCTAATGTTCCAGTTGAGATCTAAGGTATGTGCTTTACTAACTGCTCTAAGAATCACTTGCATTATCACCTCCACCTTCTGTGCTAAGCTGGTTCTGAGCACGGATGTGCCAAGGAGAGCTTTGTCTATCCATTGTGGTGGTCACATACACGTATCTGATTCCCTTTATCTTTTATAAAATGTTAAAGTAAGTTGCACATGGAAGCATTAGCTTAACTCATAAAAGGTGCAGAATATTACAGGATGCAGAGGCTGATGATGTTCACAACAGAAGCTGAGGTTTAAGAAGTAAAGGATTTGGTACAGCAGTGTTGTGAATGGTAAGACTCTGCCATAACAGTATTTTAAAATTACAGAGGAAGCTTCAACTCTGGGACCAGGCCTGTTATCAACACCACCCCAGAGTTGTAGTCCCACTGATTCCAGTTGAATGATTGATGCTTCCAGTTCTGCACATTGAAAGTTACATTAATAAGTAATGGCAGGAATAGGTCGTTTGTGTCTACTGGGTATGTTATGGCTGTTAATAAAAATCTAAAATGATTTTACTTTCAGTAAGTGTTTAGATCTTTGCAAAAAAAAAAGTTCCTACTTTACACTAACAAATCACTTTTTCTAGTGAAACATTAAGTGAACAGTTGTAAACATTACACAAAACAGAAAAAACCCTACACAATACAGTTTATACACACTACTCAACATTTTTCAGTTGTTGGGTGGTTTGTTTTTTTTAACCATATTGATCCTGTCTTGTATAATGGTTCTAGTGTAAAGGCACAGGTTGGTTAGGAAAGAAAAGCCTGCATCTCTGTCTCTCTACTTCATGGTGATTATTTCCTTTTTGCATGTTGTTTGTTATTCCTCACTTTTCTGACTCTTGTATGAAAATTATCCACTTCAGCCATTCATTAAAAAAAGTGTAAGACATTACTGAAAAGCACATTACTGTACAGAAGTGACTGAAATTTATTCTTCTTACTTTAGGGCATTCCTTCAACCTATTTTGTTAAATATTTAGAAGATTTAATTTCCTAGTCCCTGTGAGCAGAAGTGCATAGCATGTGCTCTCTCTTTCTCGGTGCACTTCATTCTACATTGGAATTTGTATTTTCAAAGATTAATAATGGAACTTGATAAATTTACGTGCAGAATTTGCTCCTAGAGTGCCTGGAAATGTAACAACAGGAAAATTATTTTGGAAAACAGCACAACTTTCACTGAAGTTTAGAAGGGTGAGGAATGTAAACAAGACTGGAGAAGTCTTTGATGTATATTAAGATAACACAGTGATTGTTCCATCTGTTTGCATTTTCTTGTACATCCTCAACACGTCTCTGTCTGTCCCTTCACGTACACCTTCCGTTACAAACAATAAAAATTCAGGAATCAGTTGGACTCAGCTAAGTGAAGAATAATAAATTTGATCACCTGGTTTGTGCCAAAACACAAAACTAAGAAGTACATCTCTGAATTAAATATAATCTATGTGATTTTTCTTTTTTAATAAATAATAGAAAATAAAAGATGAGAATAGAATTAGAATTCTATTTTTATTTAAAAGGAAAAACACAACAGGTGGGTGAGATTAGAACCCAATGTTTCTTTTGCTTAAGGCAATCAAGTGCACTTGTTTCAATGCTTGATAGTAATGAATTCAGTGCTATTGTGGAAATCAGACCTCACAAAATTCCCATACAGACTAATGAAATATGGCCATTTGCTAGTTCTGACACAGCATCAGATTCTTATTAGTTGTGTTCAATAGCATTTCACTTCACTTTTGTCTTTTTACAGCAATGGACTCTTAATTGTAATGGAAATACTAGAATCTAGTTCATTCTGGCTTGTGTTATCACTACATGTAAGGGCCATGGGGCACAGACAGTTTGTAAACAGAGATTTTTGTTTTCAGCCTTAAAAAACAAACAGTACACCCCAATATCTAAAGCTGTAATAGTTCAATGAATTTTGTAAAATTCCACTTAAAATTATAATTTAAGAAACACCAAAACCGATATCTTAGCATTTTTTACCCCAATTGTTAAAACTATTAAATCATCATGAAGCCTTTGTAAGTAGTTAGATGTCTCAGAAAAAAAAAAAGAAAATCTAAATTTTATGCAAGTCTTCATGCAGAGGACTCTAAAACTTGGCAATTAGAGCAGTAGTAAAAAGTGTGCCCACAACTTCCAATATATATATAGACTAAAAAGAAACTTTTTTCTTGTACACAATTCTTTTTAGCTATCAAGCTTAATTTTAGGCCGTGGCTACTAGCAGGTGCTTTTTTTCACTAATCAAAATAATTGTAACAAAATATCATTACTGATTTTAAAGGTACTGGGTTCATAAAAGTTTTGCTGTTTAATAATATATCAAAAGTGAATTGAAGCTTTTAAGACTTACGATTTTGAGACACAAAAGAAACTGGGAGGTAGACAGATGTTTTGAGGATAAACTGATTTTTTTTTTGTCTAAGGCATTATGCCACTATTTGTTTAGAGCAGCGTAAAGGCTGCTGATTAATCTTATTTCAATTCCAGAGTGTTCTCTGCTCGTGCTTACGGAAGACTATCAATGCACTTTTGGTCTTTGTGAATCTGACCTTCTCTTCCCCCTCTCCTTTCCTCTCTTTAGCAACACAGCTAACTGGAAGTGCTATCATAATTTCTGCCCATTACCTGTAGACAGGAATGTTCTGTTCTTAAAACAGTAATAAAATACTATAAAATAGTAGGTATTGGAGTTGGAGATATGTGCTCTTTTGGTGCATATTTTGCAAAGAATGGTAAAAAGACAGACAACATGACCCCAACAATTGCCAGCATGTACCCCCACCCAATCTGGCAGTCTCCTGCATAGTAGATGTCTGAGTTCTCACAGAATCTCTTCACAGTAGCAGAGTTGAAACCAAAAGGGTAAACCAAAAGCCCAGAAGCCATAATGAACACTAGAGAGGAGAAAGAAAACACACCAATTATTAGCGAACGTTAATTCCATTGGAAAAATTAAAAACTCCTTATCTTAGAAAGGCAAATATATATTAAAATCAACGGGAAAATCATAGCTTAAAACACCCCTTATTATTGGCAGATTCTCTTCCTTTTCATAATTACCTCTTGTGCACAGCAGTGGTGGGACATGGCAGCAAGGTGGCATTGGGATTTTTTCATGAGAGCTCTTGCCATTACAGAACTTCAGAAACGCTCCAATCCAAATTATGAAGCCATGTCAAAAGTATGATGATTCAGATATAATGGAATCCAGAGGAGAATTTTAAGTTTGCAGACTCCAAACCAGCTCCATTTTCTTCTCAACAGCATTTTTGTGCTTGAGACAAACAATTACTTTGTTCTGCCAAACAAAAACTTTCAGTGAAAGAGTTCAAATGTAGTGTTTCAGATTCTGCTCGTGAGGTTCTGGCAATGTGAGCACTTTCTCATTATTCTCATTACTACAGACTCAAATTGTTTAAAAAATCCCAAAGACTGTGAGATAAAAAACAATAACTTTTAACAGTGGAGTCTGTCACTATAGGTTTTTGAATTCTCTCTGTAAACTTAAGGATTAGAAAAGTTTTCAACCTAAGGTTGAGACCTAAAATATTAAGACCTAAATTTCTTATATTACCTAATTTTGACAGCTTGGGCTCCAAAAGCACCAAATAAATACAACAGGACATGCTGTAGAAGTCTAAAGGTTCAGTATGTAAAGGCACAGGGCTAAAGAAGGAAATTTCTCCAAGTGAGGCATCTTTTACTCCTTCTAGTCAAAGAGGTGTAAAATACAAGCAAAGCTTAAGCCACCCCTTGATGTTGTTGCATTAAAATCCTCCAGGAGCAGCTCTTGGAGCCCGTTTCTGTCCACCCTGGGAAAGAAGAGGTGCTGAGCCAGTCTGATGTGAGGGGGTTACACCATCCCAGCACTGTGTGGTTGAGAGAACACCGAGAAACCATGTTTTCTTCTCTATCCTTTCTGCTCATGAATTACCACTGCATTTTAAATCTATATTGTATTTTAAAAGGCTTTCTGTTATGTACTGAAAAGATACCATGGAGCAGTCCCTTTTCCTGCCTTCCCATTCTTCCAGGATATTGTTCTGTTCAAATTCAGGGTAGTGATTCAAGAATAGCAGCAATCAGAATTAACAGTTATGTTTGAGCTGATAGATAATTCATCACCAGCAAACATCTAATGAAACATTAGGATTATAAAACAAACACTACATGCTATTCTCTGTGTTTGTAATTGCCTTTCAGGTAGGGCATGTGCATATGACTCCAATTATAATATTGGAGAGGCTTAATCTTAAAAGTATCCACTAAAAACAGGCAATCACTCATTAATCTTTTTTAATTAAAAACCACTTTAATAAGCTTGAGGGCTGGATGGAATCAAAAAGTTTAACACACTCAGCCTGTAAAGTCCCTGAATAATTTGAATTAAACCTTTCCTTCTAGTCTAAATGGAACTGCTGAGTGAATCCCTTGTAGAAAACAGTAAGACAAAGAAAATGGAAGCTAAAAGGAGAGAAACTGGAGCAGCAGCAAATCTGCCAGTGTGTTTCCCTCTGGGTATCTCACTGAGGGGCACAAAGAGAAGCTCCTGCCAAGAAGTGGAGCTGTCAGAGCCAAGTGTTTCACCTGCCCTTGCTCCCACAAACACCCTCTTTCCTTTTAGCCTCATGAATAATTGTTCAGTGGTTGCTGTGGCCTTCCTCTCTTTCCAGGCACAAGGTGATGCTGCAGGAGCCAGTGAAGGGAAAAGTCTTTCCCAGCACATCTCACACTCCCTGATCCTCAACCAGCTGCACCTGCTGGGGGTGCCCAGGACAGGAGGGAGCCCAGACCTGGACACTGAGTTCTTGGCAGCTGTGTTCCTGCATTTAGGGTCTGACATTACCCAAACATGCAGAAGCTGAAGCTAAATACAAAGAAGTAAGTTATATTATGCAGATCTCCTCTCACTACACACATATGACACCACTAAAAACAATATAAAATGAAAATATAGTAAAAATGGAGCTAAACTAGACACACATCTCTTGCAACAGGACAAGGGGTAATAGCTCTAGATTAAAAGGGGGAAGATATAAGGAGGAGATAAAAGGAAGACACTTTCCATGATGACTGAGGTAAAACACCAGCATGGATTGCCCAGAGTGGTGGATGCCCCATCCCTGGAAGCATCCAAGGTCAGGATGCTCGGACTCCGAGCTCCCGGAGACACCCGTGCTCCCTGCAGGGGGTTGGACTAAATGACTTTTGAAGGTCCTTTCCAACCCAAACTATTCTGTGATTCTGTCACCTTGTTTAGCAAAGGTCACTGAGCTTTCCCAAAAGAAGAAATAGAGCTAAGGGCCAGCACAGCCTGAAAGTCACGTGACACTCTTGCACTCCCAGGAACACAGAGCACCACCTCTGCAGGCAGAAACATAGGAAACAACCTTGGAGAACAACCAGGGAAAAGGGAGACTTTTCCTACTGCTGTTGTAAACTGTGAGAGTGTTAAACCACTGAGCTGATGAACAAACTAAACCGTGCTAATCCATGGACCTGTGCATTGTAGAGTCACCCCTGGAATGATGCAGCTGGGAAGTGAAGCAATGGGATGCCTGAGAGACTGTGGATGCACAGCACGGCCCCGCTGCCACCCAGACTGCTCGACTGCATGAGGAATCTGGAAACAGCCCCAGGGTGCAAAACCTGTAAAATGTTGGCAAAGTGAGCCAGTTCTAAGAGAAACAGCCACTGCTCTAAGCAACAATCAGGTCTAAAACTAAAACTTCAGTTCGTTCATCTTTTCAAAGCCGAAATAGTCCTTGCATCTCATTTGGTGAAAAAAAAAGTGATGCAGAATTGGAAACAATCTTTTTTTGTCGTAAAATCCTTTGCTTACTGTTAAACTTCACTGTTTGTCTGACACTGTCTCAACCCCTTGCTCTGCTTCACGTATCTGTCCATATATGTTTTCTTTTTGATTGGGTTACACAGAATTATTTTGAAGGTTGTGCTTGATGGTGACACCAGTGTTTTGATTACCACTTGGTGCTGATGTTGCATGGTGTGATTTGATGGAAGAAGCTTTATTTTTTTGAAGGCTACAAATAATCTGTCACAGCTGAATGTACGTGTTCACATATCAAACGGGCTAAAAAGTTACCCATGGTTTCATATCCTCAGGCATGTCATAGAATGACCTCATTATTCTCATTTAGGTGCCCTCTTTCTTACAAAGACTCCAAATATTGAATAGCCCGTTATTATCCGCAGAAGCCAAGCTTTCAGGCATGGTGCTAATGACTCCTTAATGGGGCTGTCTGTCAGCAGCACAGTGAGCTGGGAGAGCACACAAAGAAACAGTGGGGCTCCATTTAGGCTCCTCATAGAACACTTACGCCTCTGCACGGCTTTCCAACAACAAACAGCACTTTGAGAGGTGTCAGAATACAGCAATGAGTGCATTTCACCCTTCTGTGCGGTGTAATCCTGCTGTCGAACAAGGTGATAAGGCCAGACAACATATTGG